TGGGTTATGTGGCAAGTACCTTAGAGTGGGCTCTGGTTGCTAGGAGTGGTCCTCTGTTGTCAGTTGCCAAGAAAATGGGACTAAAGTCATATGGCTCTAAGGAAATTGATATATACATATATCAGTGAAAATTTTTTATATTTAGAATTAGCCAGCTGGACTCAGTTTAGATGATCCCAATTTTGTTGGCATCATAGTCAGGAGCTAGTCGAACATATGCCTTCTTCTATCAGTCCTGATCAGTGTTGGCCTTGGCCATGTCAATGTCATAGACCTTATGCACAGCCTGTTTCATCTGGTGCTTGTTGGCCTTGGCATCTACAATGAACACAAGTGTATTGTTGTCTTCTATCTTCTTCAGGGCTGGCTCAGTAGCCGAGAATATCTGGGCTGCCTTCGGAGCCACTGTGTCTTGGGTCTTCGGAAGGTGGGTGATATGTGGATCTTCTTTTTTCTGTGGCTGTGGATGCCTTTCAGCGCTGCTTCCTTCGCCTTCAAAACCTTTACTTTGGCTTCAGCTCTGGGAGGGCAAGGGCTTCCTTCTATGCTTTTGGCGCCATCTTTCTGAAATAGTTGTTAACACTCTTGAAGTGGGGCTTTCCCTAGTTGAGCCTCCAGATGAGGATGCAGCTGGCTGGCATCTTCATTTCAGCCTGGGGAACCCTGAGCCAGGAACCCAGTTCAGTCCATTCCTGACCCATGGAAACGGTGAGATAAGGAGTTTGTGTTGCTTTAAGCTACCAGGTTTGTGGTAATTTGTTATGCAACCATAGAAAACAAACACAGGGGCTAACCCAAAACTCACTAAGTCACGGAACAATCATGTCTAGAAAAATCTATGAAAAACGTTTTTTCTCTTTTCTGGTGGAATTTTCACACCTTTTAAAATCTTCGCCAACACAATGCGATGAATGAAGGTGGGCTCACCAACAACCTGAAAACTGCCCCCAATATAGGTTCATCTCCAGAGAAAATGTATTGCTTGATGGTTTCTGATACCGAGTAGCACTGATAAGGACATTTCCAAACGTCTTACAAGGTTTATGTCTTTAGGATTTTGATGATGGTTGATGCAAAACAATGAAAAAAAAATCAGATCAGTGGGAATGGTGTGGATCTGTTTCTCCAGTGTGTATTCATTTCCACTGGACCCATATCTAATATAGTATCTCATCTGTTTCTTTTGCTGTTTGGTTTGGCTTTTTCTTAAAGGTGAACCAAATTCCCCAAAGATCATAATGTGATACAGTTTTTAATAATTGAAACAGTAAGGAATTTTTTTTTACCCCAGAAGGAACTCTTTTCTCCTGAAATCATTCTGGACTAGATTGCTAAGAAGCCAGTTTCTTACTCAGAGCCCCAACCAGTGCTTTTATCCTATCTTTGCTCTGACTGCTGGTGTTTTAGCCAGTTTCATACATCTTTTCCTCAGTCTTAACCATTTATCAGACTAGGTTTAAAACTGTTGAAAGGTGCCCCTTTTGAAGAAAGTGGTGATAAGACAATTGCTCCCCCACCGCCAGCTATACCTCTGGTGAGTGGGTGGAAAGAGGGACATTTTGGGGAGGGCCAATTTCATCAACTAGGCCATAAGCAGAGTTGGTGAGACGCCTCTCTTGGGCTCTAAAGAAGAGCATTAGGGCTGTGGGTTCAACAAAGGCTCAAGTTCTGCTAGTGGCTTTCAAAGCAGGGCTCTCAACTGCAATGTGCACACCGTCCCCTGGAGATGCCATTTATAAGGCAGATTCTGATTCAGTAGGTAGGTCTGGGGTGAGGCTTAAGATCCTGCATTTCTAACAAGTTTCTAGGTGATGCTGATGCGAGGAGGCTGAGGCTTCAGAGCTGTGCTGACTATGGTGGGATTCTCAGGCCGGCAGCAGCAGCAGCAGCAGCGGGGACTTGGCAGAAATGCAAATTCTCAAGCCCACTCAAACCTACTAAATCAGGCCCTCTGAGGGTGGGGGTCCCTGGAGTCTGTGGTTTAGCAGGCCCTGTGGGTGATTCTAATAGACACTAAAATTTGAGAACCACTGGTTTATTCAGATTGTGTACTTGCTAGTCATAGCACGAGCTGGTTGATTTCGCATCTGCTCAGATTGTTGCTCAGTGCTCTCTTTGCTCCTTTAACCATTGGGAAAATCTGTCATTTAGTTTTTTGTCTTTAGGCCTATTAGCAGCATCTTTAGAGGTAACAAAAATCAACTACTAAGTGTAGATCTGCAAATATTTTAGAAAAAGCTTCATTTGGTCCTAGCTGTGTGTAGAGTGTACTGGGCTGTATAAGAGTATAAGGGCTTGTTACAACACAGGTTTCTGGGACACATCCCTGGAGTTTCTGACTCAGTAGGTCTGGGATGGCCCAAAAATCTCCATTTTTTTTAAAGATTTTATTGGGAAATTGGGGGAGGGGAACAGCACTGGGGAATGGGGGGAAGGGGAGCAGAAAAGTTGCTGTCCTTTTGTTCTTCAGTCTAGTTGTGGAGCACATTGCTTCACTGGCCCATGTTGGTAGTATCATTGTGCTCTTCCTGGGTGAGGCAGTCGCCCACTAGCCATTGGACCGCCCCTCACAGTGGCTCACAGCAGCTCACGAAAGAGCACACCAGCTGCCAGCCAGCCCCATTGCAGCCCACGCCATCGCCGGAGACCCATGGCAGCCCAGCTCCAGGTCGAGCTGCTGTTCACCATCTTAGCTATAGAGGGTGCAGTTCGGATCATGTGGGAACCGAATTGGGGCCCCACTGCTCAGAGCTGGCGTCCCAAGCCAACCAATGCGCCACTCGGCTGGCCCAAGAATCTCCATTTTTAATAAATTCCCAGGTGATGCTGCTGGTCCGGGGCCATTTTTTGTGTGTGTGTGTCTTTAAAAAAAAAATTTTTTTTTAAGTTTCAGGTGTACAAAACAACATGTTAGACATTTACACCCCTCACAAAATGATAACCCTCCCCCAATCTACTACCCCTCTGACATCAAATATAGCTGTTACAATTCCATTTACTATATTCTTTTTTTTTTTTAAAGATTTTATTGGGGAATTGTGGGAGGGAACAGTGTTGGGGAATCGGGGAAGGGGAACAGATGAGTTGCTCTCCTTTTGTTCTTCACTCTAGTTGTGGAGGATGTTGCTTCACTGGCCCATGTTGGTATTGTGATCATTACGCTCTTCCTAGCTGAGGCAGATCAGTCGTTGGCTGTCCAAAGGCTGCTCACGGTGGCTCACGGCAGCTCATGCTAGCTGCTGGCCACTCATGGTAGCTTACAGCAGCCCACCACAGCCCCACTGCAGCCTATGCCGTCGCTGGCGACTCATGGTAGCCCAGCTCCAGGTCGAGCTGTTGTTCACCATCTTAGCTGTAGAGGGCACAGCATCACTGGCCCATGTGGGATTCGAACCGGTGGCCCAGCTGCTCAGAGCTCGCACTCCCTAGCCAACTCTTAACCAATGAGCCACTCGGCCGGCCCCCATTTACTATATTCTTTATGTAGTACTCTACCTCCAGTGACCACACACACACACACACACACACACACACACAAGGTGCCAAAAAAATATATAATTTTAAGAAAGGAAAAAACTGTATTAAAATTACGCTGATGGTAACCACTTTGAGCACCTCTCGTAATTGCAGAAGTCAAACGTGACTTGTATTCATTTTTTGTTATCGGTATATATTATTACAATTTTAATAGTTTTCCTTTCTTAAAATGTGTATGCATTTTTTTGGCACTGTGTGTGTGTTTAATTTATAGTTGGCATTCAATATTATTTAACTTCAGTTTCAGGTGTACAGTGCAGTCAGTGGTCAGGCATCTACACATTCAGGGGCCATTTTTGAGAACCACTTTTTTAGAGCATTCATTCCCAAAAGGCCATCTTCTTTCATGCCCCCTCCCTCCTTTGCAGGGAGGCTGTAGGGATGAGAAGAAAGGAGGCGGTGGAGGCAGGGGACCCCTCAGGCATGGATGCGTGCATGCTGAAGCGAATCCTCTTTAGGGCCAGTCTTTAGCCATCTCTGTTTCAGCACTGCAAGACCCAGGGGAAGAGTCTGGGCTGAGGCAGATGCCCCATTCCTCCTTGGAGGCAGAGCTTCTGTAGTGCTTTCCCTCTGAAGAAAGGCACTGACTTTGAACATCATCCTTCAAGTGTGTTCAAAAGGCTGCAGTTTAAACATATCAAACTGGGACATGATCCTCCCCTGGAGGTAGATTCCTGACTTGCAGCATTAATAGTCAGGCGGGTGTCTGCTCTGTAGCACTGGTTCTCAACTTTGCTTACAAGTTAAAAAAAGAAAATGATGCCCGCCTTTCCCCCCCCCCACCGCCCCCACCACCACTCCCCAGACCAATTAAATCAGAATTTGGGGAGTGGGGGGCTTGGACCAGAATTAGGTGATTTCCATGTGCTGATGGGTGGAGAATCACTGCTCTGCAAGTTGAACGCTGTGCACAGGGCTGGGGGTGGGAGTGGGGAACTGGGGTCTCAGTTAGTGTTTCTCCAGCCTTCAGCGAGCACTTTCTGTGGGCAGCAGGAATGGAATTCAGAGATGGAGGGAGCATCCCTGGCCCTTGTCCCTGCAGTGATTGCCCTAACGTTATCTTTTCATTGCTTTGAAAATAGAGGCTTCTATAGATGATGTATTACAGAATTGTACACCTAAAATCTATATAACTTTACTAACAATTGTCACCCCAATAAACTTTAATTTAAAAAAAAAGAAAAAATAGCGACTTCTTTGGCTTTTATGTGAAAGCAGAATGAAATACCACATCAAAAGAGTCATGTCTAAGGGCTCTTTAAGCCATCATGGATTTTAAAAACAATCCACCATGTGCCCCAGAGTCATGCCCTGGTAAGTGCTGAACAATAGAAGGTCATGAGTGTGATACCTGTGTCATCTTATAAAAAATGGGGATTACCATAGTACTTGAGCTTTGGGGGTATGGTAAGAAACTAAGTTCAGAGACTTGCCCTTGCAAAGTAAAATATAACTGTTTTGTATAGTTACCATGTTTAATGTGGACTATATATATTTCATACATATATTTGGAATACATATAATATGGAAATAAGTGCCCCTATAATTGAATGAGGAGGCTAACACAGTACCTTAAGAACTCTGACTATTTTCTTTATTCTTTGCCAGGTTAGAACAATACATAGATATTCAGGCTGAGGAGGTGGCTTTTTCTTGATGCAGCTGATCCTGGTTGCCACTAAGGGGTGATCCCCTTGAGATAATAAACCCATTTAACTTCTGTTTCTCTGCCTTCCCCCGGAGGGCATGCCACAATCAGCTTGGTGGTGATGGGAGTTTTGCTGCCTGATGGGTTTCCTTCAAAGTAGACTGTGATGTTGTTGACCTTCTTGGGCCGCACAGAGTCTATGGCACGAACGGAGAAGGCTGGGTTCTCCACTATGAAGGAGAAGGTGACGGTTTGGTAGAAAACATTCTTGAAGGGAATGACTATGTTGTACCCGGCTCGGATCAGGAAGGGACCTTGTGGCTTGGGAGGCAGAGCCACTCCGAAGAGGGGGACGGTATACTCCCCGCCTGTAAGTGACGACAGGCTCAGGATGCCCTTGGTCTCACCCAGGCGGCTGGGCTCAAAATAGATTTCCACACTGACTTCTGTGCCTCCTTGAGCCCCCGCGGCTGCGCCAATGACCTTTTCCGTGTGGAAGTCTGGACAGTCGGTCTGAAAGGGGAACAAAGGCACTTAGCTCACACAAGACCCTGAAAGGGATACCAGCAGCTCCGGCCCATCCCCAGGCCCTCCACTCTCAGCCAGGCAGGTTATAAAAAACCATGCACTTACAACTCCCTTGAAGAGTAGATACTGCTAATTATTATCCCAATTTTACTACAAAGAAGCGGAGGCCAAGACATGTTAAATAACTTGCTCAAGGATACGTGGCTGGATTATGTGGGTATGGCAGTCATTGGTGCCGCTCCCCCATATCGGGCTCTTCTTTCCTTCCATGCACATGAAAGACCAAACGTTCTGACTCCTCACAGAGGACCGTTAGTTGTGAGCAGAAGTGAAAGGTGTCACTTCCACACTAGAGCGTTCAATTGCCAATGCAAGTCCTTGCGGGGTCTTTTCACCCCTCTAGTACTATGGCCGGAAACATCTGAGATGGTGGTTGCCCTTCAGCCTGGATCCTTGAGTGGCTGTGATGAGCAGAGTGCCCTGCTGACCCTCACTGGATAGACAGCACAAATGAAAGACAAACCTTTGTGGGTTTAAGCCACCGAGCTATCGGGGCTCTTTGTTACATAGCATGACCTCATCTCTCCTGACTGATAGGACGGATCAAAAGCCTGTGCCTCTTGACTGTAGCCATGGGACCCCTGATATTAACTGGGCACATGGCCACGCAGTGTAAAGGCTACATGTCCTAGCTCCCCTTGTTGCTAGGTAGGTGTGGGCCTGTGCAGTTTTGTTCAATGGAGTGTGAGTAGGAGTGGTATTTTCCCTTGTGGCTGGTAGAAGGCAGATGTCACCGTGAGCCGTCGTGGTCTGTGTGGACCAAGGCGACTCTCTGCAGAGGGAAGAGCCTCCGGACAGGAGCCTGGGGCCTGACGTCATGGAGCTGCTATCCCAGCCCAGGCTGCTTAGGCCTCCACTGTCATCTGAGAGAGGACTAAACTCCTGTTTTGTGGTCGTTTCAGGTTTCTGTTTCAGTAGTAAAACCTATATTCCAACTGATACAATAGGTAACATATATGGGGCATTTACTATGGGCCAGGCTCTATGAAAACAGTTTTATACACATACTTTAAAATCCTCACAGCAGTCCTGTGAGGTTAGGGTATTATCACCATTTATAGATAAGCTTAGAGAGCTTTAGTAAATTATTCATACAAAGAAAAATAGTGAAGCCAGGGCTCAAATCCAGGTCTGCTGGCTTCCATAGCCTACACCCATGACCACGAAGCTCTGCTGTCTCCTTCATTGACCACTGAGCACACAATGCGAAGCAAAGCTGCCCCCATTCCCACCCAGCTTGTTAAGACAGAAAGTCCTTCAGGAAGAACCCCGGACTTGTGCTGTTTATTTCTAGCTGGGAGTTTCCAGGCTAGATGAAGCACCTGACTCCCTGAGTTTCACATTTCTGGACCCCCTATGTCCTCCTCCCATTATTTGTGAGATCGGACTTCAAAAATACGTGGAGGCAAGGGAGGGGCAGAGGGTGGGGCAGGGGCTGCTCACCCTGCAGTAATATTCTGTCTTCTGCCGGCTGTAATTGATGATCTTGGCAAAGATGCTCTGGCCGCTGCCAAGAACAGTCTGGAAGTGGACAGGCTTTTCAGGCAGTGCTGGCATGGCCTTCAAATTGAGCTCATACTGGTAGTAACCCAAATCGCTGTTGTACAGAACTAGTTTCCCGAAGGTTTCTCCAGCTCGCAGGGGCTGGAATTCAAATGAGAATGTGCCCTGCAAGAGAAGACAGAGACTCCTGTGATGCTGAATGTCCCACCCATCCCCTGCCATCCAGGGACCTCAGAGCAGGCTGGTGGCACAAATGGTGCTTTACAAGCAAATGCTCACACTGATCTTGAGCCCGGGAACCTCTGTCCAAACCAGCCCACTTTGCCTCCTCTGTACCCCTCTTAACTTTTCCAGGTGTTTCTAGATCTGGCATCTTTTTGAATCTAAAACTAGGTCCTGGGTCCTCTCTTGAGAAGCACACTAGGGACCACCTCCAGGACTGGCCTGACCTCAGGGATGCGGAACATGGATGGAGAGGCCCCATGGGCAGAGCCTCTGTCACAGCTATCAGGGGACCCTCTGGTAACCAGGGTCATACCTCAGAGTTAGCAGGCACAACAAACTGCGAGGGCAGGCTGATGTCGGGCACCCTGCATTCCGTGGCAAAGGTCACCGAGTAGGGCAGGGGGTTCTCCACCTTGATGGTGGCCGATGCACTCTGCCGGACGGGGCTCGCCATCTCAATGGCTTTGATGACCCCTGAAGGGATGACCCTGAAGCTCACCATGTAGTATAAGAACTCGTTGGTCATCTCGTTTCGGAAGATCACCTGAGTTCACAGGGAGAGTGGGAGGAAGCACAGAGTGGAGGGGTTAGCCGGGGGTCCAGAATTCTCTCTGTGAGCAATGCCTGGGTACATGAAGCGCGGGTACCAGGCTGACACAGGCCCTGCCAGCCTATCTGAATTCCTGCCAGCCAGCCTGTCTTGTTGGGTATTCTGCTCTGGCTCCTCCCAGGTGAGAGGCTATATTACATAGCCTGAGCTTGCTTTAGAAGAGGCCAGGGCAGCACTGTTTAGTGCTGCAGGTGAAGGTGTCCCCACAGGCTCTGGAGAACAAGCAAGACCTCGAGAGAGGTTCATGCTACAGTGGCTTCACTCCTATTCCTGTTGTTGCTGGACTTAATAATAATAATAATAATAATAATAATAATAATAATAATAATAATGGCTGCAGCATCTAACACTTACTGAGTGATTACCGTGTGCCAGGCACTAGAAGTATTTACTTGTTTAATTCACAAAGTGACATTATTATTCCCCTCACCGTTTTTTTTTTTTTGTAGATGAAGAAAATGAGGCTTAGCAACATTAAGTATCTTGCTCAGGGTGACGTGAAGAGAAGTGTCAGGACCAGGATTTGAACCCAGGTTGGACCAATTCCAGAGCTCACACTTGTAACTGCAGTATATTGTCCCCTCCCCCTGCAACTGACTAGTTATCAACAAGCTGCTCACCTGTTTAAGTTCTTTTCCCAGATGACTGATGATGTTGAGCATCTTCTCAGGTGCATATTGGTCATTCACGTATCTACTTCTATGAAGTAGTCTATTCAAGTCTTGCCCTTTATAATACTTTGGGTTGTTTATCTTATTATTATTAGGTAGTAATAGCTCTTTACATATCTGGCTTTTTACTTTCAACCTTTTCCTGTCTTTAGATTTTTAGATTTAGAGTGCTTCTGAACCCTCTGCTTTTTCATGGGCGTGTTTAGTATTTTACATTTAAAAATAAGTATTTACATGTTTGGGTTAAAGTCTGCCCTCATGCTATTTCTTTTCCATTTGTCTCATTTTTTCATTCTCCTGTTGCTGCTTTCCTGCCTTCTGTTGGATCAATATGCAATCTTTTGGGATGTATTTGATTTCCTCTACTGGCTTTTCAGCCAAATTTTTAAATAGCAGATTTTTAATGGTTGCCCTAGAGCTGACAACATGAAGTTTGAACTTGTCAAAATTTGCAGTCAGTATTTTGTCACTTTCCACTTTACAACTGACCCTTGACACTTTTTACCTTATACTTCCCACCTCACAAATGTAATTACCTTCCTAAAGTATAATTTCATTGACCTCTCCACCCCATCTTCTGTGCTTTTGTCATCATATCTTTTATTTCTATGTACATAAGAACATCCACTTTACAATGTTAATTGCTATAAACTGTCTTTTGTCTTTTAAAGTTATAAGAAGAAAAACATATATTTTAATATTTACTTACTTATTTACCATTTTTAGTGCTCTACTTTCCTTCCAGAAGACCCAAGTCTAATGCAAGTCTGCGGGCTATAAATTCTCTCATGTCCTTTTATCTGAAAATGTCTATTTCACTGTCAGTGTTATAGGATATTTTCAGTGGATAAAGAATTCTAGGTTGATAATTTCTTTTTCTTGCTGTACTTTGCAGACAGCTTCCATTACATCTGAAGAGAAGTCAGTGGTCATTCTCATCACTTGTCCCCCCCTCTATGTAATATATTTTTGAAACCTGGTTGTTTTAAGCCTTTCTCTTTCCCTTTGGTTTTCAGCAGTTTTACTATGGAATGCCCAAGCATGGTTTTCTTTGTATTTCTCCTGCTTGAGGTTTGCCAGGTTTCTTGAATCTGTAAATCACTTTTATAGTTTTTCAAATCAAATCAGGGACATTTCAGCAATTATTTTTTTCAAATAATTTTCTGCCCATTCTCAGTTGCTTTTCTTCTGGGACTCATATTACTCACATGTTAGACCATTTTATATTTTCTCATAGGTTCCTGAGGCCGTGGCTGTTTTTCTTCAATCTTTTTTTCTCTCCATTCTTCAGGTTGGAAACTTTCTATTGATTTGTTTCAAGTTCAATGAATCTTCTCACTTCTCCAATCTGCTGTTAAGCACATCCAATGAATTTTTCATTTCACTTTATTCTACTTTTCAGTTATAGAATATCCATTTGGTTCTTTTTCATAGTTTCTATTTCTCTGCTGAGATTCTTTATCTGCCCACTCTTTAAGACCATATTTTATTTATTTATCAACCTCGTAGCAGCTGCTCTCTGGTAAATCTTATGAAGTCTCTTCCCGTGCATGTGCAGTCCAACCTTCATTCAGCCAAGGACTTTGAGGGGAACTCCCATATACACTTTCTTTCTCCCACCCGCTCCGTATCCTGCTTCCTCCCCTCTGTGCTCTACTCTGTAGGGACCAGCTATTTCAGCTGCACCAAACTCTGATTTCTGCCTCTTCAGTTCACTGAGACTGCCTTGCTTTGCTTAGGCTCTAGGTTACTGCACTGTGGTCAGGAAACTGTCCCGAGGCAGAGAGCCAGGACAATCATGGGAACTCACAAGTTCCTTCTCTTTGATGAATTGCAGTGTTATGTTGCCTGTTGTCCAATGACTGAGAAGACTTGCCTCAGATATTTTGTCCAGTTTTATGGTTATTTTTTTTTTATGTTGGGAGGACTAGTTACATAACCAAAAGTGGTTTGTTTTGTTTTTTTTTAAAGATTTTTATTGGGGAATTGGGAGGATGGGAACAGTGCTGGGGAATTGGGGGAAGGGGAACAGACAAGTTGCTGTCGTTTTGTTCTTCAGTCTAGTTGTGGAGGACGTTGCTTCACTGGCCCAAGTTGGCACCATCATTGCGCTCTTCCCGGGCGAGGCACATCAGTCACCGGCTTCTGGACGGCCGCTCAGCTCACGCTGGCTGCTGGCTACATACGGTAGCCCATGGCAACCCACTGCCACAGGGGCTGCAGCCTACGCTGCCACCGGTGACTCATGGCAGCCCAGCTCCAGGCTGAGCTGTTGTTCAGCGTCTTAGTTGTGGAGACCAGTGTCACTGGCCTTCATATGTGGGATCCGAACTGGGGCCCGCCCTCTGGCATCCCAAGCCAGTTCTTAACCATCGCGCCACTCGGCCGGCCCTAACCAAAAGTGTTTTTGATTAAAAAACCCTTTTTGTTGTTATTGTTAATTTTAATGCATTTACTGTAAAGAGATTCTGTGATCTGGGTTCACTGTCATTTTTATTCAAAAATTTTTATACTTACATTTTAATACATATCTTTATTTATATAGCTTTCTGTTCATATCTATGACTTATGAATGTCTCTATTTTCTTCCTACCCATGTCTATGAATGAGAAAATATCTCTTATTTCTCCATTTGTTTCCAACTGAGAAAAAAATTTTCATTGCCTTATTTTATTCCTCCCCTTGCTACTTCCTATACTGAGGTCATCTGAAATATTTCAGATTGCCTTCCAACAATTATTTAAAATTACCTATCAGTTCAGTTTATGAGACAGGCACATTAACTAACTAAGCCATAGAGACAGCAGCTTATCCATTTAGTTTAGATTCTTTGTTCATTATATCCTTGTACTTTCCTCTTGGATTCATTTAATTTTAAAAATTTTGCTAATTTAAAAAGTTTTAATTTTATAGTACTTCTTGCAGTCAGGGATTGTGTATATGGGTGGGTTACTTTGAGTCCTTGTATGTTTAAAAATATCTTTATTTTGCCCTCATAACAGTTTTGTCCAGAAAAAGAGTTCTAGACTGAAAATCATTTTAAGTAGTTTGAGTAGCTTCCTCCATTGCTTTTTGTATTCAGTGTTGCCACGAGAAACCAGATGTTATTGTGATTATCATTTCCTTTTATTTTCTCTAGAATCATTCAGGACTTTTCTCTTTTATTCCAGTTTTCTGAAATTTTATTCCCATGTATTTAGATGTGAGTCTTTCATTCAACCTGTTTGGCAACTTGGTGGGGTCTTTCAATTAGAAGACTCAGTCTTTCTCCAACAGCCCTGGAAATTTTTATCCAATTATTTTGTAGAGTAGTTTCTTCCTTCTATTATCTTGTTTGTCTCTTTCAGGGGCTCCTGTTAGATGGATATTAGAACTTCTGGATTTATAGTTTATGTCTTTTTAAAAAAAAACAGTTTTATTGAGATACAATTCACCCATTTAAAGTTTACATTTCAGTGGTTTTTACTATATTCACAAAGCACTTATCTCATTTCATAATTACACATTTATAGTTCAATTACTTGATTTAGAACATTTCATCTCCTCCCAAAGAAACCATGCACCCATTATTAATCATTCCTTATTTCCTCCTAACCTATCCCTTCTAGCCCTAGGCACCACTATTTTTCATTTCTATAGACTTGCCTATTCTGGACGTTTCGTGTAAATAAAATTATATAATACCACATGTGGCCATTTGTGACTGGCTTTGTTCACTTAGCACATATGTTTTCAAGGTTCATCCATGTGTTCCATGTATCAGTACTTCATTTCCATTTCTTTGTATTGCTAAATAATCTTCCATTGTATTTATCTGGTCATCAGTTGATGAACATTTGGGTTGCTTCCATTTTTTGGCTCCTACTAGTAATGTTGCCATGAACATTTATGTACAGGTTTTTGTGTGGACGTATGTTTTCACTTATCTTGAGTATATACCTAGGAGTGAGACTGGTGACTCATACATATGGTAACTCTGTGTTTAACCATTTGAAGAACTGCTGGACTGTTTTCCAGAGCAGCTGTAATGTTTATACTCCCACCAGCAATGGCTCCAACTTCTCCACGCCCCCCTCGCCAACACTTATTATTATTTCCTCTCATTCTTGATATTTCTTTGTGCTCATGTGCTAAAGTCTGGTGACATTACTCAGCTCTATGTCCTCACTTACTAGAAATGTCTTCCTCAGAGTCCATTACACTTCAGCCTTCCTCTATGGTTTTCTATTCAAAATATTCTATTTTTCATTTCCAGGGTCTCTAATTGATTGTCTTCCATAACAACCTGTTCTTATTTCATGGGTATCATTATCTTTCTTTATTCTCTTAAGGATATTTATAATATTCACTAAAAGTCCTCTTCTGTTTGCTATAATAACTCTTTTATCTCAGGAGTTCTTATTTGTTGAGCTGGTTATTTCTATTTTATGGTGGTTCTTTCCCTTCAGATGGTCTGTGATTCCTTGATTTTAAGGTTCTCTGTTAGCCTGATTGTGAATGTGATCTGAGTGGAGCAGCCGACCTCCGTGATTGTAGAAGAGGTGACATGCTGCTGGGTGGGTTTTGCCAGTATCTCTTCTGGAGGGGGGAAATGTGTTCTAGATTCTATTTTTTCCACTTTAAAATCTTTCCCTAGGCAATTCCATTTTCCGTCACAGCTCTGAATACTATTGATAAATGGCTAATTGCCATATATTATCTTCAGCTCTGACCTCTCCTGTGAGCTCATTTCCTTCAAAGCACTGACCTCATTTTGTAATTATACATTCATAGTGCAGTTATTCAACTAATGTCCATCTCCTTCACTGGACTGTGTGTTCCATGGGAACAGGGACTGTGGCTATTTTTGATTATTGCTGTATTGCCAGCTCATAGTATATGGCATATATGCTCAATAGGTACTTATTGAACTAATTAGGAGAAACATTTCCTGTGGTGTCTTGGAGTAGATGGTTCTGAGTTGAATCCTGGCCCTGACATTACTATTATAGATACTTGTGTTGAGTGCTCAGAACAATGCTGAACACTCTATAAGCACTCAGAAAATGAGATATTGTGTTATTATTGTGGTCTGGTATTTGCTGGTCCAGTGTTACCCACTACATAAAGATTTTCAGGATTCTGCTGCCTTGGAGGCTTGGCATGGACCTACATGATGGCTGGCTGGCCTTGTAATCTGGTCTCATCTTAAAGAGGTAGAGAATCCTGAATGCCTTTGCCAGGTCAGCTCAACAGGATAAGGACAGGCTGGCTGTGCAGGATAGCTTTACCCTCTAACACCAGCATTTGGAGGATAGCTTCACTCCCTAACACCAGGATTTGCAGGATAGCTTCACTCCCTAAATACCAAGATTGTCAACCTCAGGGTCAAGCCTCCAGGGTCCCAGGGCAGTGCCTTTGACATGTGGATACCTTTGCATTGTACAGTCCTTCCTTGTAAGAAAAGAAGTTCAGCTTGTAGTCCTTCTTGGAGCCAGACAATACATCAATGTAATCAAGGCCCTTTAGGGTGACGGTTAGGTCTGGCTTCTCTGGTTTCAGGATTTCCACAATGACCCGGAATCTGGGGGAGCACAGGAGCACAAGAAGGGAGGATAGAGAAAATGACATCGTTTGCCCAAAAGAAAGAAGGAAAGGTGCTATTCTACTCTTGATTTTATGAAAAACACATGGGTCCAGGGTTGTAGCCCTTACTGTCACTAAGAATAACAGTAACGACCATTTACTGACCACCTATTAAGTGCCAGGTACCGAGTCAGTGCTTTGCATGTGTTATAGGCATCTAATCCCTATAATGTCTGTCGGGGGTACATACTCGTATCATTACCATCTCCATTTTACTAATGAGGAAATGTGGCCAAAGGAGGGAAGATAACATGCTCAGGAAACATGACTAGTTATTGGCAGAACTAGGATTCAAACTGAGGTCTGGGCCTTTATCCACAATGCTAAGCAGGCGGCCTTCCTCTCCCAGCCTTCCCTATAAAAGAAGAGGACTAGGCTTGTTGGCCTCAAGCTCCTCTGGTCCTTGCATTCGACTCTACTCCCACTGCAAGTACAAGATCCAAGAGACATCCTTCTCTGGCCAGTGGCGTAGATGATAAGACAGAGCACCCAAAAATAACCACCATGATTATTGTCAGGGTAATAGTAATAACAGCTAACATTTATTGAGCACTTATTTTGTGCCAGGCACTGTTTTAGGACATTTACAGGTAATCGGCCATTCATTGAGAGCACTGAACGGGAGACTCTCTGGAGGCTTAGGGTTCAGGCAGTGCCGGGCCACATCAGGAAACTTACACCCTGACCCAGGGAAGGGCCCGGCTAGACAATGGAGGTCTTCCCTCTGTCCCTCTGCCCCACCCCCTTGTCTCACTCCCTCACCTCTGGGGCTTGTTTAGCCAGTTGTTGACTGGCAGGAGCTCAGTGTACGGTGTCTTACATGGCACCTCGCGGTAGATAACAGCCACGGCTTTGGGGAGCTCGGAAGTCCCATGCAGTGCATACAGCCAGCCAGTCCCATCTGGGAGGGGGAAGAAGAGGGTGCCCTAAGGAGAGGAAGAAATGCCATCAGAATGACACAGAGATACCTTTATTAGTATCTCTCGGACATGGTGGTGATACAGGATTAATGGAGGCTCTGCAAATAAGCATAACATTTTTGGAAAGCAGGTTGGTAATATGTTTTAAGAGTTATAAAAGTGTTCATATGTATTTGAACCAGGAATTGCACCTAAGGGAACGTCCGAAGAAAAGCCCTCCAGAGAAGAAAGCTACATATATACATACACATATATATTAGAACCATTTATAATATGAAAATTTGGAGATAACTTAAACATTCAACAACTGGGGGATGTTAAATAAATTATGGAACTCTCATTCAATGAAATATTAAAAATGATTATCACGAAGAAAAATTCTCATGATATAATAATGTAAAGTGAAAATAAACAGAATGAAAAATCAGGGATGCTATTATGGCAGCCAAGGCCATATCTGAATAAGGCCTTGGTAGTGAAGATATCAGAAGATAGGGTGGAAGATTGTAGCTTCTTTTTTGATTTTTATTATAGTCACTCAGAGTTATTTCTGCAATTAAGCTAAATATTAATTGCTTGATGCTTAGTCCAGCACTCCATTTCAGAACCGAGCCTCTGGTTCCAAGAGAATACCCCATCCATGAAAACATATGGACCAAAAGGGAAGCTTTGGGCTTGATAATCTGCACGAGTCCCCATTGTCCCAACATGAGTTTTGGGGTTCCCTCTTTTTCTAACATTCTCTGAGCCGCCAAACTCTGTCTCCTGATCTCCCTCATACAACGCCTCCCTCCAGCCATGCCAGGAAACTGATGAGAGGAAAGGGAGCGCAGCCTACCTGATGCTTGCGGTTCTCCAAGTTCATGGTACGGGGCTTGTATGTAATCTCATAGGGCTTGTTTTGCTGATGAGGCTCCAGAGTGATGAACTCGGGCCCCTCCCAGTGCTCACCCTCAAAGATGGGGTGCAGATTCCAGGTCTGGTTGGTGCGGTTTGAAAGCAGGATGGTCTGTGTATTCTTGGAGCGCACCTGGCAGGTGAAATTTACCACCTGGAAAAAAACAGGCATCTTAAACAGGCAGTGGAATTTACAAATCTGGAGCTCAAGACAAGGTTCAGGCTGGAGATGCATATTTGGGAGTTGTCAGTGTAGTGGATGAGATTATTAAGAAGAAAGCATATTTGGAAAAGAGAAGGAGTTTAAGGACTAATTCCTGACTGGCATACTCCACTGTTAAGAAGAACCAGAAGAAGAGATGAGAAGGAGCAGCTAGCTAATCAGGTAGGAGGAGAATCAGGAGAGGGTGGTATCCTGGAAGCCGCGTGAAGGAACTGTTTAAAAGAGGAAGTACTTGCTCAAGGTGTCAGATGCTACCAACAGGTCAAGTGAGATGAGTGAGAACGGGCCATTGAACGTAGTAATGTGGACCAATGGTGTAAAGGGAGTCAAATAGATCAGTGGAGTTCAGTAATAGACCCACACATGTATGATCAATTAGTTTTTGACCAAAGTGCAAAGGCAATTCAGTGGAGAAAGGATAATGTTTTCAACAAATGGTGTTAGAACAATTGGCTATCCATATACAAAAATAAATAAATAAATAAATAAATAAATAAATAAATAAATAAATAAAATGAATTTTGATCCATACCTTGCATTACATACAAAAATTAATTCTAAGCAGATTGAAGCTCTAAATGTAAAACATAAAGAGCTCTCAAAACTCAATAATAACAAAATAACCCAATTAAAAATAGAAGATTTGAACAGACACTTCAACAAAGGATATAAATGGATGACAAGTACCTAAAAAGATTCTCAGCATCATTAGTCATTAGGTACTTATTAGAGCTGCCATCGATTTATTAGGAAAATGCAAATTAAAAATCACACTGAAGGAAAAAAACCACAAAAAAAGAAAGAAAAAAAAAGAAAAAAATCACAACGAAATATTACTGCATACCTTTTAGAATGACTAAAATTAAAAAAGAAAAAACAGACCATATCAAGTGTTGATAACGATGTGATGCAAGTAGATATGTCAGACATTGCTGGTGGGAATGTAAAATGACAACCACTTTGGAAAAAGGGTAGGTTCTTAAGAAGGTAAATATATACCTACCCTATGGCCCAGCCATTTCACTCCTAGGTATTTACCCAAGAAAATGAAAGCAGAGGTTCATGCCAAGATTTGCACATATGATGCTCATAGCATACTGTATGATTCCATTTACATAACATTTTTGAAATAACAACATTACAGAGATGGAGATCAGGTGTCATTTTTACCGTAAGTAATGTTGTCAGGAACACAGCTGATAGTGCACGATTAGGTTTCTAGGAACAGAGCTAGCAGAGGGTTAACCCAAGGCCATTTTAAAAAACCCAAAAAACATTAAAGGTGTTCATACTCCACTCACAGCTTATAACAGTGCTTGATGTAGACAGAGATGTCAATGCAGGTTTCCTTGAGAATGTGATGCTTGAGCTGAGAGCTAAAGCATGAATAGGAATTAACTACATTAAGAGGGGAAAATGAATATTCCAGCACTGGGAACAGCATGTGCAAAGGCCCTGTGGGGGAGGGAGCAGGTCTGAATGTTTGATGGGGGCACCGAGGACTGTTTGAACAGAGCCACCTGTTTCTGGAAGGCCTGGCTGAGTTCACTTGTGTGGGCAGCACTTACTGACCTCTTTTATGGCAGGTTGTCCCACACAGACTCCAGAGAGGGTAAGGCTCAGAGGACTGCCTCCCTGGATGAAGCAGAGCAAATTTTTGTAGAGACTCTCCTTGCCCACCTCGGTGGGATGGTAGGTCACTTCGAAAGACACCTCCATGCCTGCAGTGATATAGCCTGCTTCTGGGCTGATGGAGAAATGAGGCTCAAATTTTTTGACATCCCATTTAAACCTTTTCCAAGACAAAAGGAGACAAGGAAGACAGTTTACTAGTAGCCTGGGGGTGTCTGCAATGCTGCTGAGAACAAGACTTTGCTTAGGTTTTTAACTTGGAGGTTCCCCCTCTACCCCGCTTGTGGACTCCATGGGACCTGGGAGGAGAAAGATGGCCAAGTAAAGCAGAGGCAGGTAGGGACAAGGATCAGGGCACTCCCTAATGTTGACTCGGCTCCCTCTCAGAGCTGAGCAGGGTGGGAAGTGGCTGCACCTTATCTTACTGCCCACAGTGACACACTGGGGAACATATCATGAATGTGCTTACACATGTGTACCCAAGGTGGCACAGCTAGCAAGTAGATGGGCTAGGACTAGAAGCCTCCTGAGACCATGGCCTTAACCACGCCCTGCACTGCCTCTCAGGTCAGATCCAGGAGGAGGGAGACGATCCCTTCACATGAGAGTTGCACCTGCTCCTGGTGGCACTGGGCTCCGATGGCCCTGTGTGGTCATCCCTCTGCCGTCTGGCACTTGGTCCAGGCGGGAGACAAGAGGGTGGGTTGTGAGACAAGTGCTTCCAGTGCCAGGGCTGCCACACCACACCCTCAGGGCACCATTCACACTGAGTCTGTGTGAAGGGTGCTCCCTGCAGGTGTGTAGCCTGCACAGATATGGCGGCACGTCCAAGTAGCAACTGGAGTGGACACCTGGTAGCAAGAGAGAAGGGCCTGGAAAGGACAGCTGCCACAGGTACACCTGGGTTCCAGTCCCGTCTTTCTCACTTCCTGGCTGTGTGACCTCGGGCAAACCACCTGGCCATTTTGAGCCTCAACTTCATCTGTGCAATGGGGACAATATAGTACCTACCTTAGAGGGTCCAGGGATAGTCAAATGGGGTCTTATACGTAAGAATGCTCAGCATTGCACCCGCGCATTGTAAGTTCTTGCTAAATGCAAGATTTTGGAAAAGTGACTTAATCTCTTTATACCTCAGTTTTCTCATCTGTAAAATGGATCATAGTATCAGTCTCAAAGAATTGTTTTGGGATTAAATGAGATGAGCCATGTAAAGGGTATATAACAGGCACCGAGCAAATGCTCTCTATTATATTAATTTTAGTAATCACAGCAGCAGTGATCACCCTGGAGAGGCCACCAACTGTCACATTTTCAGGGAAGGGAGGATATGTGAAAGAAAGGGGAAAAAAAATCAAAAGTGGCCACACTTGTAAAACAAATGTCTGACTCAACTCTAAGGCCCGAGCACTCTGCTCCAGCTCCTACCTTGCACCCACGTCGCCCGTGTTCAGCATGAGGATGCGACGTGTGGCTTGCGTCTGATATATGACTGGCCCGAAGGCAAGATTCTCTTGGTCCAGGGAGATCTCCAGGGCCTGGCAGCAGCCACTGAGGATGAAGAGGGGGCGCAGGAGCCCCATGCATTCCATGAGCACTTCCTCGGAGAAGGGAGTGATGCGCTTCTTTGGGGCAAAGATGACTTCCAGCTTACGGGTTTCTTTGGGCTTCAGAGTGATGTTTTGAAAGGGTATCAAGGTGATGACCTGGACAAAATGACAATGAGACTCAACAGCTGGGGGCAGGGCAGGGGACCATCTGAGGCCTCCATTCCCGGAGGTCTTGATGCAGGGGCTGTAACAGCCTAGGGGTCAAATCTCACTTCTGCTGTCTCTTACCAGCTGTGTCATCTTTGATAAGTTACTTCAACTTCCTGTAACTTAGATTCAGATCATTGACATAAAATGTGCGGCACATTATAGATATTCAATAAACGTTCATTCTTTTTGCAGCCCCTTGCAAATAACCCCTACTCTCTGGGGGCGGAAATAGCAAGGTGAAATAGAAAACGCTCAGTGCTCCGGTGCTTTTTTGAGGAGCGCTCCCTGGGCTCCCTGTGTCACACACTCCAGTGTGCTGGTTACAATGCAGGTTTCTGGGTCCCACCCCAGGCCAAGTGGATAAGTGTCCTTAGGGGAGTTTGGAACCTGCATTTTCCAAAGTGCCCTGTGTGACTTATGTATTCTAAAATGTGAGAACTGCTGTTTGAATTTGTATGGGCATCTCTATCCCTTTGTCCCGGTAAAAAGCAAATCAGAATCAGCTTTAAGGAAGCCAAACCCGTTTTCATCCTTGAGTTCCTTGAGTGATGGTGTCAGTACAGGTCACTCTGGCAGCCTGAGTGTGATCACCCCAAGAAGCGGAATGTGTATGGCCAAACTGTTAGGGGCCTGACCCATTGGAATTGAGGATTATAATTTGGATTAATAAGGGAAGCAACAAGTCTGCCCTCTTACTCTGGATGGCAAAATGGGCACCGTGGACTCCTGGGCTGAGACACCCCCTGGGTCTCATGCTTTGCCTGGCCTCTTACAGTCAATTTTTCTGTATCCCAGATGATACACAGCTCCCCTGCCACACTGAATCACACCTGCATTTCCAAAAGCACTGACCCTTTCCAGACTATACAGCTTTGCCTGCCAGAAACAACCTCCCCAACCTGTCTGCCTGGGAAATACCTCTTCATCCTATAAAACTCGGTACAGATCTCTCTCCACTGTGAGGCTTTCCATGGCCCCCAGTCCTCTTCTGAGCAACCCCCTCCTGATCCTTTGGGAGGTAATTAGGTTTAGATGAGGTCATAAGAGTGGGACCCTCGTGATGGGATTAGTGTCCTTATATGAAGAGACATCAGAGAGCTCAGTCTTGCTTGCTGTCTGCTGTGTGAGCGCACAGCGAGAAGGTGGCTGTCTACAAGCCAGGAGAGCCCTCACCAGAAACTGACCTTGCTGGCACTCTGATCTCAGACCTCCAGCTCCCAGAACTGGGAGAAAATAAATGTCTGCCTTTTAAGCCACCCAGCCTATGGTATTTTGTTACGGCATCCCAAGCTAAGGCACACCTTTATATTTACAGCACCTAGCATATATTTACTGAGTCAATGTAAGAATGAATTGAATGAAGGGGTGGATAAGTTCGCCCTTAAAATGAAACACACTTGGTTCATTTTCCAGGGGCCATCCAAGTACTGCTAACTATAAGATGGGGAATAGGCAGCCAGGACCGGTAGCTTCTCCATCCAGGAACTCGAGGATGTGGATTTAGCAACAAGCATGCTTCTTTCACACAGCTGATGGGAGTGTAAGGGGAGACAGCCTTTCAGGGGACAGACTGGCAATGTGTATTGAAACATGACTCTTCCTTTCAATCCAACAGCCCACTTGTAGGAATATGTCTTAAGCAGAGAGTCATGAATGCACGTAAAGGTTTGGTTACATGGATATTAAAATGTTGTTTATAATATAAACCATTAGAAACACCTGAAATGAGAGAAATAGAGAATTGGTCTATCTACATTGTGGAGGTAGAAGGTAGAAATGAACATATGACATTGAAGGACATGGAACATGTTTATAACATATTACTAGACGATTAAAGCAGGTTTTAAAAGAATATGAACATTATAATTTTATTTTTGTAAAAAATAAATGTGTAGAAAAAAACCACTGGAAAGATAGGCACCAAAATGTGATTATTTCTGGGGTTAAGATTATGGGCAAAATGTTTTCCTTTCTGATTTTCCATCTTTTTCAGCTTTTCTGCAATGAAGATCTATATACAGAGAATCCAGGTCCACTGAGTCCCACATTTTTCGATTTCACTCTGTTGCCCTTAGAGAGGTACGCGGCCTCTCTAAGCTTTGGTTTCCGTATATGTGCAATGGGGATAAAAGCACTAACCCTACACTGTTCCTGTGAGATGGTCAGAGGTGGCACACTGAAGCTGCTAGTGTTGCTAGCACAGTCACCTGTACCCCTGGAAGGCCCGAGCACCAACCTTGGGTTCCTGGAGTTCTGGATTTGAGAACAGGATTGATTGGTTAAATGTGAGCTGGGCATGGCTGTTGTTCATGATGGAAACCGTTTTTTTCACAACCTGTCCTGGCAGGACAGCTCCTAACTTCACAATCCTACTGGCTGGATCGAGGACTGAAATCTGTGGGACAGGAAAGGGAGCAGGGAGGGAGGGTTCATTAGTTAATGAGAAAAATGAGTATGACATGTTTACCCCGGTGAGCTAACGGGGTCCCTCTCTTTCAGTGTTCTGTTTTCTTCACAATGGATGGCCATTCACTCACTCGATAAACATTTATGTGCATAAAATGCCCACTAAACAACTCATCTCACAACTACATAATTACAACAGGGTTAAGAGATATGAAGGAAAAGCTCAGAGTACCTGGAGAGCATACTACAGGGGGATGAGCTAGACTGGGGGTTTGGTGAGGCCCACCCCCCACCCGGGGAAGCCATGTTTACACTGAGAACTAAAGGAAGGGTAGGAGCTAGTCACTTTGAGTCAGAGCAGGTAGGTGGGTGGGTAGGTAGGTGGGTGTGGTTGGAGAGCATCCCTGGGGAGGAGGCACCTGTGGCAAAGCCCTGAGATGAAGGGAGGGGCCCAGTGAAGGCCTGTGGCTGGGAGCAGGGGGAGAGTTGAGAAGGTTAAGTGTGGAGGGGTGGTCAGGTTTTTTTCTGGGAGGAGTCAGAAGCCACTGAAGCATGGAGAGACTCAATCAAATGGGTATTCTGGGAGTGCTCAGCTCGCTCCTCTGTGGAGACAGACTGGAAGAGGGCAAGAGAGAAAGCCTTGAGAGATGAGAGATGATGGTGATTTGAACTAGAATGGTGGCAGTAGAGGTGGAAAAGTAAATACATTTCAAAATCCTCATCTAAAGCACTGAACAAAATGTTGGCTTGGATCAGATGTAGGTCAGACTGGGCCGTGCCCCCCAGGATGGCAGTGACCCACAGTGAGCAGCACCCATTGGTCTCTGTCATTTGATCAGTCACTAAACTGCACCCTCTCCCTCTCACTAATTTTATACCCAGCTCACATGTTTCCATTTTGTCTATAAAAGCAAGAGTCTCCAGCACCATCCTGTAAGCTCCAGGAGGTCAGAGAACATGTTTAAGTCACCTCTGGATTGCCCCAAAGTACCCAATACACAATGGGTGCTGAATGAGTGAATGAATGGAAGAATGAACACATGAATGACTCAATGACATCAGAGGAGACCCTGTCACTGGCTTAGGCACAGACACACCAGATAGCATCATCCTGTTGTTCCTCTGGCTTGATGGGAAGGTTGCTGAAATGTCCTATGCATGCCTGAGAATCTTGGAAGGTCTTTGGTCTTCCATTAAATACAAATACTCCCACCAGACAGACACCTTAAATGTTTACCAGACACTGGGAAGAAAGGGATTGTAGGAGGACTGGGCCATTCCCTTTCGATTATATTAGGAACACCTGGTTAGAAGGACTACCCTCAATCAAATCTAATCCTGGGACCTGTGGCTGGCTGGAGAATGTTAATAATCACTGGTGTTGGAAAGATGTCCCCCTAACTGAAACATATGTTTGCATGCATGCTTAAAACAAATCTTGCCTATTAAACCTGAAACCAAAACATGCCCTAATGTGGGAGAAAAAGAACATGCTTGGGATCCTGCCTCTGATAGTCTCAAACTTTTCCAAGAAAAAGAATGTTTCTCCAGGGCCTATGATTACTACTTGTATCCTCTGATACAGTAAAGAAGTTTAGGATTGAGTAAGCTCTATGATTCGCTTGAGTCTGATTTGACAGTTCACCCCTCAATGGGATTGCTGGCTTCTGACAGAGCAGCTTGGGGGCAAAGGATGTGGAGAGGGGAGGAAGGGTGTATGGGCTCAGGTGGGCCAAGATGACTGGAAAAAGCGAGAAGGAAGGTGACAGTCTGAGGATCTCCCAAACGTCTCTTACCTTCATTTCGGTGCCTTTCCCTTTGATTTCAACTACTTGTTGTGAGAGCCCATTGATTTCAAAGGGGATGAGTTCTCGATAATTGATACTTTCTCGAGGGTAAAAGGTAATGGGAATCTCCAGTGCCTTTCCTGGCTTTATCACATCAACGTGGAAGTTCACCTCGAGGTAGTTGGTATTGGTGTACAAACAATCTATGCTGGAGAAAATGAGGAGGAAGGTGCGTAAGCTCTGAGAAGCCTGACCCAGAGGGACTGATTCCGTCCCCTTTCTCTGAGCCAGATCCTGTTAGATCCCCTGCCCTGCCATCCCAGAGTCATAGAATTTAAGGGCTGAAAGGGACCTCAGCAATATCCAGCCCACATTCTCCTGGGCATAGTCAAGTTATAATAACTTACCCCAAATCACACCCTGAGACCCTGGCAGAACCGGCCTCAAATTCAAAGTCCCATGGCCCTTTGGCCCAGTGCTCTTCTCACCCTTCATTTTCTCTTTCTTGATAATGCAATTCATGTTTTGTACCCTCCTAAGAAGGAAGTGCTTCCCGAAGTAATCGGGTGGCAAAGCACAGTAGAGAGAGGCTGGAGTCAGACACACAGGAGCTTGGATCTAGGCTCTATCACTAGCTAGCCATGTGACCTTAGAAAAGTTACTTAGCCCATTTGGGTCTGTTTCCTTACCTGTAAAGTGAGGTTGTTATGAGAATTAAATGAGATAAAGTAACGAAAACAGTTGTTAAACAGTCCACAGAGGAAACATTGCATAAAGGTGAACTATCATTATTCTTACTAATTGCTCAACCAGAAGGGATCTTCAAAGGTCATGTCCACCCTACTTCACCTGTGGGTAGGAAGGCTCCTAGACCTCTCCATTACTAACTCTCCTTGTCTGCCTTACAGTACTTAGAGAAGGAGTATAGCTAGGCCAATAAATAGAGTGTAATGCTGTAAGACTCAGGTTAAATTAAATCATGTAATAAAGTGTGTATGTAGATAAGATTTTTCATTAGTATTTAAAGTTACACAACACTCTTGTAATTTAATACTCAGGATAATCACCACCACCATCACCACAGCAGCAGCAGATAATAATAATTGAGCGTTTCCACTGTTCCAGGCACTGTTCTAAGTAGTATCTCTAGATGAACTAATTTGATCGTCCTAATAGCCCTATAGGGAAGATAATATTACTATCCCCCACTTCAGGCAAGGAGACAGAGGCACAGAGAGTTTAAAAAATTTGCCCAAGGTTAAATAGCTAGGAAAGAGCTGGGATTCGAATTTAGACTTGTGTTATCCAATATGGTAGCCATTAGACACATGTGGCTGTTTAAATTAAAATTAAAATTAATTAAAATAAAATAAAATAAAAATTCAGTTCCTCAGTTGCACTAGCCACATTTTAAGTGCTCCATAGCCACAGATAGCTATAGGCTGCCATATTGGACAGAGCAGATTTATAACATTTCATCATCAAAGAAAGTTCTATTGCATAGTACTAATCTAGAGAGCTCTGGATAAACACAGGCCCCCGGGTCAGTCTCTGGAGCGTCTGTCTGTTGGGTCTGTAGTAGGGCCCAGAAACCTGGACTGGAACATTCTACATGGAGATGGTGCAGAGAGGCTGGATTTGAATCAGAAGGCTTAGGCTCAATATAAATCCACCATTTACTGTAAGGTCACTGGCCTGAGAATTTCACTTTTTAACTCTCCAAACTTCAGTTTCCTCATCTGTTACATGGGGAAAATAAACGGAAGCCATCAAACCTCTCATCAGGTCATTTGGCATTGCCCTGCTCACTTCAAGAAGAGGATTTTTAGCAGAGTAGCTTGCGGTTATCCAACTACCAGTATTAGTGATGGGGAAAGGAGACTCAGGATTCGTGCCTACTTGTGTTTGACTCATTCTCATAATCTTATTTTTCTGTCATGGCTGGACTTCATCTGTGTGAAGGCCGTGGGACCCACAAGGAGCTGCAGAACCATCTGGAAGGTCTGGGAAGTCTGCTTACCTCACAGGCATTTCTTCCTTGTTGGTGATGACCAGGATTTGTTTGTATGGGGGCATCCCAGCTTGGTAGATGAAGCAGGTCCCAAAGTTGTAGCTGGTGAAGGAGAAATGGATGGCTGGGCTCACGGCACAGCCTGAGATGCTGCACGTAAATGTTGGACCATGGCTGATCTGTGGAGGAGGAAATGGTAAGTAGAATGTGATTAGAAGTGAAAGGAAAGGGCCCTTAAGTCCTCAGGTGAAGGAGGGAGGCAGTTGGGTGTTTAAAAAATACAAGGTCCCAATATTTCACCTGCAGAGATTCTGATTCCTAGGTTAGAAGTTTATCTGAGAAAAGCAGGGTGGGCTACTCTACAATCAGACCCAACATGAGCTCTTGCTTTGCTCCTGAAGCAATGATTCAGCTTGAAGGCAGAAGGGTGTGGCAGAGACTGTTAGTTACTACCAAACATCCAGTTCCTAAGGCTTTCTTATTAGCAGGACTCTGGTTGGTTGTCAACGTGCCTAGGAGAAAATACCTGACTTGAGTCTTCCAATCTATGAACACAGGGTGTCTTTCATTTGTGTCTTTAATTTCTTTCATCAACATTTTGTAGTTTTCAGTATACAAGTCTTTCATTGCCTTACTTAAGTTTATTCCTATTTTCTTATTTTGGTGCTATTGTAAATGGGATTGTTTTCATAATTTCCTTTTCAGATAGTTCATTGTTAATGTATAGAAGAGCAACTAATTCTTGTGTGTTGATTTTGTATCCTGTAACTTTACTGAATTAGTTTATTAGTTCTAATATATATGTTTAAATGGAGTCTTTAGTGTTTTCTCTGTATAAGATCATGGCGTCTGCAAACAGGGACAATTTTATTTCTTCTTATAAGATTTGGATGCCTTTTATTTCTTTTTCTTATCTAACTATTCTGGCTAGGACTTCTAGTACTATGTAGAATAGAAATGGCAAGAGTGGGTATCCTTGCCTTGTTCCTGACCTTAGAGGAAAGGCTTTCAGTTTTTCACTGACGAGTATGATGTTAGCTGTGAGCTTTTCATATACGGCCTTTATTATTACGTTGAGGTACTTTCCTTCTATTCCTAGTTTGTTGAGAATTTCTTTATCATGAAAGGGTGTTGAAATTTGTCAAATGTTTTTTCTGCATTTGTTGAGATGATCATGTGATTTTTATCCTTTGTTCTGTTAATATGTTGTATCACATCAATTAATTTTCATATGTTGAACCATCCTTGTACCCTAGGAATAAATCCCATTTGGTCATGGTTTATGATCCTTTTACTGAGCTGTTGGATTGGTTTTGCTAGTATTTTGTTGAGGATTTCTGCATTTATGTTTATCAGGGATATTGGCCTGTAGTTTTCTTCATTGTGGTGTTTTTGCTTGGATTTGGTATCCAAAGAATTGAAATTAGGGTGTTGAAAAGATATTAATACTCCAATGTTCATTGTAGCACTATTCACAATAATGAAGATGTGGAAACAATCTAAATGTCCATTGACAGATGAATAAAGAAAATGTGATGTGATGTGATGTGTGTATGTGTGTGTGTGTGTGTGTGTGTGTGTGGTGTATACACACAATGGAATATTATTCAGCCTTAAAAAAAAGAAAAAATTTTCAATATGTGGATGAATCTTGAGGACATTATTCTAAATGAAATAAGCCAGTAACAGGTTAATACTGCATGATTCCACTTACGTGAGGTGTCTAAAATAGTTAAGTTCATAGAATCAAAGAGTGGAATGGTGGTTGTCAAGGGCTAGGGGGAGGAAGGAATAAATGGGGAGTTATTAAAGTTTTAGTTAAACACATGAATAAGCTCTAGAGAGCTGCTGTACAACATTGCACCTATAGTTAATAATATATTGTATACTTAAAAATTTGTTAAGAGAGTAGATCTCAGGGTAAGTGTTTTTACCACAAAAATAAAATAAAATTTAAAAACTGTAATAAAAATGTAAACATAAATAAGAGAATCTAGAATTTGGAAAACAAAACCAAAAATCAGTTCACCATGAAAAGCACTCTAGCTTCTATAGTTGGAGTTTTGTTTTGAAATTTCTGTCTTGGTTTTTCTTTGTTTGTTTTGTTTATTTCAACACAAGAGTAAAACTTTATATTATATATGTTACCAGAGATCCAAACTAGTTTTGGAAGTATTTTCTAAAAAACCCTATTAATTTTATGTAAACACAGAAACAAATTATTTCCTATGGAATTATTTTGTAAAAAATCTTTAACATACCTGCTTTAAGGAAAACATTAGTAAATAGCTTTTTGAAATATTTATTGGTAGCATATATTTAACAAATTTGGTAAAAATGGAAAGAAGTTGAATGTTGCATCATCTCTGAAAATTAAATGTATTTTTAAGTAAATGAATTATTTAAAGAAAAATAGTGTCTTAGGCTGGGCATCCCAAATTTTCTTACTTAATTCCATTGTTGAAGAACATACTTTGTGTGATGTCAATCTTTTTAAGTTTGTTCAGTGGTTTATCCTGGAGAATTCTGCATGTGCAGTTGAGAAGAATGTACATTCTGCTGTTGTTAGATGAAGTGTTCTCTAGATGTCTTTTAGGTATAGTTCATTTACAGTGTTGTTCAAGTCTTCTATTTCATTGCTGGTCTTCTGTCTAGTTGTTCTATCCATTATTGTAAATTGGGTACTGAAATCTCCAACTATGATTGTTGAATTGTCTATTTCTCCCTTCAGCTCTGTCAGTTTTGCTTTTGGGGCTCTGTTGTTATGTGCATATATGTTTATAATTCTTATGTCTTCTTGATGGATTGACTCTTACCATTACAAAATGTTCTTATTTGTCTCTAGTAATAATTTTTTGTCTGATAGTCAATTTTGTCTGATATTAGTGTAACCATATGCTGATTTTCACTTTGATTGCAGAGTTGTTGGTTTTCAAGGCTACTACTGAGCTGGAGAGACAGGGTAGGGTACGTTAAGATACCACAAAGCTTGCTGTTCTTATGGATATTCAGCCATTTTTCTTGAATAAATGCTCCTAGGATTGTTGTAAGGCTATCGTTAGTTTCAAGAATTCTGGGGAGGCTTCTTTGAACTCGCTGAGTAGGCATTATGAGCAAAGTTCACCTTCCCAAACTGAAAAATTTATGGACAAGAAGTTGTTGTTGAAATTAAATGGTGGCAGATGTGCCCAGGACTATTATGGGGACTTGATCCTTTTACAAATCTTGTGATAGATGAATTGTGTGGAGATGGCAACTAGTGGGCAACAGAACAATATTGGAATGGTGGTAATTCGATGAAATATTATAATCATGTTAGAAGACTTGGAATGAGTATAAAGAATGTTCACCAGATAAATTAACTGCTTCCACATGTCCCCTTGCCACAGATTCTGTTTTACTACAATATAAAAATCACGTCTTGTACATGTTCATGTTGAACTTTTTTGTTAAACTTTAGTAATAATCAAAAAGAAAAAAAAA